AAAGCTGGTAAAGAAGAAAGGAACACGAGCATACGCCTGCCAGTGCAGCTGGCGGACTGTTGAAGAGCTGACTGACCTTCAGACCGATCATCAGCTCCGCTGGGTTTGTGGCAAACACTAAGATGCAGACTTTCCACATTCAGACAGATGCGTCCATGGGAGCAGTCTCTATTAATCGCCACAGTGTTTAGGTAAAGGTGCGTAGTATCATGCTCTTTGGAAAAGACAAAATTTCTTTTAATGGCTGTACAAATTTTCAAGGACTAAATGGACTTGGGAAGATAATGTGCTTTAACATATTGGAATTATTCCTTTTTGATATATGAGCATTTCACTTAGTAAGGTAACAGGTATCCAAATACTTCTTTGCTAGACTGTCTCCTGGAGTTTCATACAGATATATAGCCATTCACTCGTAGTTGCCGTACTCCTGACTGCTGATACACTTGGCATGGGTATTCCTCATTATAGCAGTTAAAGAGGATAAGGCTGGCCTGAGGGGTCACTGAGGGCGTACACATCACCTGCCCTGGTCAGATCTGTTGTTAGCAAAGATCATAATCTAGACACGTCAGAATCCGTATAGTCAGTGACCGATTAAAGGGTTTTTGAAGTGTATGGGTGAATTGTAGGTAAAAACTGCCTGTATCTGATCTTACTTCACAAATTCAAAGCAATTCTATGCACAATAATAAGTATATATTACCAGTTTTAACTTATTTCTCCTCCTTTTGTTCATTTAGATATCAAAAGGTATCTAGTTTTGTATTTTAGCAAATATTCATTTCTATATAAAAAAGATTTTTTTGATGCACCTAAAACTACAAAGAAAAATCCTGATACAGATCATTGCTGGATTTTCAAAGTACCTTCTTGCCTTTAATGCCCTAAAACTCCATTAAGTAAAGAGAACAGCAAGTAAGGTATTTTCTCAGGCAGCCTGTTGATTTTTCTGGTAGGATCAGGTTGACATGCTGTTTATTAGATAACTACATGAAAACAGAAATAAAGCATAGCTGAACCAGCAGGTAACCTGTTGGGCTCCATAATATGACTAAGACTTGAGGAACCCTACAAAGCAGCACATTTGGAAAAGCGGTTACCTCAAAATCACCTCCCAGCCTCATCAAGAGATTCCAGTTTGCCAGATGCTCTTCACCGCATGTGTCTGTTATGCAGTTCAGATATGTGACACAAGGCTTGCTTAAAGGGAGTAACCAAACATAGTTACGATCTGTTTAGTCTTATACTGAATCTGTTCCAGCCATTTCACTCCGGCAAAGAAAGATCTGGTCATTGCAATCCTCCTAACCGTGACACTTCTGCAGATGTGTATAACTTGCTCTAGTAAGCCTAGTATTCTAATAGGATACATCTCACTGGCAAATGCTCACATTTTTATATTGAGGATATGCTTGTTGCAGGAAGGGGGACCCCTTCCAGGGCCCGAAACTGGGCTCTTGTCTAACACTCGGAAATGAATTGTCCGAGGAGACACATGTGCTGACAAAGCCAGAGATTTAATTGGGAAGGGTACCCGGGTGGAGAGCAGGAGGGTAAGGGAACCCAGGAGAACCGCCCTGCCACGTGGCTCGCAGTCTTGGGTTTTATGGTGATGGGATTAGTTTCCGGGTGGTCTTTGGTCAATCATTCTAATTCAGAGTCTTTCCTGGTGGCGCACACATCACTCAGCCAAGATGGATGCTAGCGAGAGGGATTCTGGGAAGTGGACGGACAGGCAGTGTCTCCTCTCGACCTTTCCCGAACTCTTCCGGCTGGTGGTGGCTTATTAGTTCCCTATTCCTTATCAGGATCTCCTGCCATAAAACAACTCATGCAAATGGTTACTATGGTGCCTGGCCAGGGTGGGCGGTTTCAATCAGTGTGCTTCCCCTAACATGCTTATAGATCTTATCTTTCAATAAACGTTTTTTATCTGCTAAAATTTTATCAGAAGCATAGGAGAATCTGGGTTGCATAGCCTATTTAAAAAAATAGCAGAGCAGCAAGATCCACACATTCAGGACCTCATGGAGTCTGGCCCATTTAGTCATAATGGTGGGTTTTTTTAAGTTTAAATGAGCAGATTTACTAAATTATGAATTTGAATTTTTTGCTTTTATTATTTCATTATAACTATTCTGTAACTTAGATATATTGCCCATGTTTAGAAGTCTGTAACATAATAGTTATAATAATTAATTCCCCAGTGTCAGAAATGTATAAATGAGTTCATATTTTTGTTGGCAATTTACTTTATAAGCTTTTTAATATTGTATAATTTTTAATCTAAAATGTAGAAAGTATATATTTATATACAAATGAGTAGACTAATACCAGTTGTAACTTATTAGCAAAAACACAGCTATTTTACTGTCAGTGTAGAAGAGTGTAGCTTGTAATCAATTATAATTTTTAAATGCAAAGTCTATAAAACTTTCAAGATGTGTTGCCCATTTGTTTTCAATATTTATAATAATTTTCTACTACCTTCAAGTATCTTATTTTTTTTAATAAAGTTTTATTGAAACACAGTATGTAACAAACCCATTTGTTTATCTAGTTGTAGAGCCTTAGTGCTGGCTCGGTCGTTGTGGTACACAGGCTTAGTTGCTTGGCAACATGGGAGCTCTTAGTTTCTGGATCAGGGATCAAGCCTAAGTCTCCTGCATTGCATGGATTCTTGACCACTGGACCACCAGGAAAGTCCCAGCAAATGTCTATTTTTTATCAAGCCAGGTAGTTACTTTATTTGAACTGTGTTGTACTCTCAGACCTTTATCTTGCCTAGAAATGAAAAATCTGTGTGCATGTGCTCAGTTGTGTCAGACTCCTTGCAAGCCCATAAACTGTAGCCTGCCAGGCTCCTCTGTCCATGGGATTTCCCAGGCAAGAATACTAGAACAAGATGGCCATTTCCTTCTCAGGTGATCTTCCCGACCCAGGGATCGAACCTGAGTCTCTTGAGTGTCCTGCATTGGCAGGCGAGTTCTTTACCCGCTGAGCCACCAGGGCAAGTCAGGTAGCTACTGAGAGGGTAACAGGCAGGAAGGCCAAGGAAGGCTGCAAGTGTCAGATATTTTTTCTCTCTCTTAAGTGGCTAGTGTTAGATTTTTTTCCTCTTCTCTATACAGATTTAAAAAGAGGTTTCTTTTAAAGTTCTGTGTGTTGCCATGAGGACACCTGGTTCCACCTGAACTTAACTTTTCTCAAACCTTGAGCTAACCAGTACCATTTTTCTTATGGAAATGTTTGTCTTAAGCTGTGTTAATGAACTGTGTATTTACCCTAGACTCTGTCTTCAAGTCGGTTCCACCTAAGATTCAGACTTGACAATCCAGTAACTTTTACTCATGCAAATGTTCTCTTAAGCTATGTTAATAAGACTATATTTGCTTGAAAACCTGCCTTTCTTCAAGATTCCTGTCCATCATTTATTTGCCCAGGACAACTCACCTTGTGCCAATGTTATCTCAGGATGCATGTTGTGGGTGAGGGGCCTGGTACCCGTCTCTGAGTTCTGAGACGTTTCCTTTCTCTAATTAGCAGACTGCTAGAAGCTATATAATCTCTGGCTACAGACTAGCAGGGGGGGAACTCTTTCTGCCCCCTTCTGATGTCTATGTCAGAAGCCTTCTCTATCTCTTTTATACTTTAGTAAAATTTTATTACACAAAACCTCTGAGCAATCAAGCCTCGTCACTGGCCCCGGATTGAATTCCTGTCCTCTGGGAGGCCAAGAATCCCAGCATCGTTCATGGCTCAGCGACAACCTTACACTACTTTATTTGACCTGTGTTGTACTCTCATACCTTTATCTTGCCCAGAAGTAAATAAATAATAAGTAGCTTTACTCTGTATTTAGGTGTATTTTTTTTTGTTTTATAATAAAATATTCATCTGGAGATTAATGTCATATACTTTTGATAATTTCCTTTAAAATGTCAACAAAAAGTTTTGAGCCATCCAGTCTAACAAGAGAATGTATTTATTTGCATTGAGGAAGAGAAGCATGCCATAGGTTTCAGTGCCTGTGTAAGCATGTGTGTGTACGTGCACGTGTAAGGGAGTATGGCAGATAAAGGAACAGGTCCGAGTGCAGGAAGGAGGCATGTTGATAAGGTGTTTGGTGTGATGATATCCGTACACTTAACACCCTCCTTTTCTTGGGCCAAAGAAGATGGTATCAAACTATGATTTTTAATGGTTTTCCCTCCTTTTCTTACTCACCTCATATTTTTTAATGTGGGAGAGAGGGGTCTTAAATCTAATAAGTATTGTAATGAAGCTTAATAGTAACTCAAATGCTGATTTTTTTTTTTCAGATGTTAGGTTTTTAACAAAATCTCTATCAGCCACCATACTAGCTTTATATATTGTTTAAGGTAATTCTGAAAGGAACGAAAAAATTTAAAATATACAGTCTCTTTTGAGATTTTACATTGTATCACATTTATTTGGGTTTGTAACACCAAAGGCACCCCATTTTAAAATGTGGCATGGAATATATAGAATATGGTTGGTAATTAAATTTGTTTTCAGACTTTCCCCAAGATGGGTAACAATGTGAAGTGTTACAAAATCAGAGTTGGAAGTTATGTCCCTTGGAAAGCTACTTAACCTTGGGGCTTTATTTGCCTCATCTTTGTGAATGGTGATATCCCTTTTGTAAGCTTGTTGTGAAGATTAAATTATATAGTATGTGAAAATGATATGACATAGTATGGTGTTTAGTTCAGAATAAGTGCTTGATAAGTGCTCTCACTCTTTTTCCTTCTATCTAAATTAATTGGTACCACGTGTTTCTTACAGTAAAGCATTTGATCACATGTCTATTCATTCCCTAACATCAATCTGTTAAAACCTACTCTGCTGTCATTTTATCTTATTGCTAGTAAATATAAACATGTCTAGCTTTATGTTCATGTAAGTTGAAATAACTTTCAAAAACACCCACTCAAGCCTTCTGTTCCTGTCTACTTTAAACCTATTTGAGCATCATGAAGGGCTCCCAGGCCTTTCACAGAATCTTTCTGGCTTCTCCTGCCCCTGCTTCCCTTCTCTTCCAACCAGATCTACAGCGCACCCACTGTTCCTTAGACTACTTCATGTTTTGCTGTCTTAATGTTCCTGCTCACCCTCATCATATTCTATCAAAATTCGACTCATTTCTTAAAGTCTGTATCTTGTACGTCAGTGGTTTTCAGGGTGTTTTCCACTCTCAGAGAAGTCCCCTGGAGTCTTGCGGGGGTCCACGTGGTCAAACCAGTTTTTGTAACACTAAGACATTAGTGCTTTTTCACGTTTTCACTTTGTTGACATTTAATACTGTGGTGGAGAGGCAGAGGAACCAGAGATCAAATTGCCAGCATTTGTTGGATCATAGAAAAAGCAAGAGAGTTTCAGAAAAACATCTGCTTCTGCTTTATTGACTATGCCAGAGCCTTTGACTGTGGATCACAACAAACTGTGGAAAATTCTTCAAGAGATGGGAATACCAGACCACCTTACCTGCTTCCTGAGAAATCTGTATGCAGGTCAAGAAGCAACAGTTAGAACCCAACATGGAACCACAGACTGGTTCCAAATTGGGAAAGGAGTACGTCAAGGCTGTATATTGTCACCCTGCTTGTTTAACTTGTATGCAGAGTACATCATGCAAAATGCCAGGCTGGATGAAGCACAAGCTAGAATCAAGACTGCCAGGAGAAATATCAATAACTTCAGATATGCAGATGACACCACCCTTATGGCAGAAAGCGAAGAAGAACTAAAGAGCCTCTTGATGAAAGTAAGAGAGGAGAGTGAAAAAGCTGGCTTAAAACTCAACATTCAAAAAACCAAGATCATGGCATTCTGTCTCATCACTTCATGGCAAATAGATGAGAAAACAGTGACAGACTTTCCTTTCTTGGGCTCCAAAATCACTCAGATGGTGACTGCAGCCATGAAATTTTAAAAAGGCACTTGTTCATTGGAAGAAAAGTTATGACCAGCCTGGACAGCATATTAAAAAGCAGAGACATTACTTTGCCAACAAAGTCTGTCTAGTCGAGGCTATGGTTTTTCTAGTAGTCATGTATGGATGTGAGAGTTGGACCATAAAGCTGAACACTGAAGAATTTATGCTTTTGAACTGTGGTGTTGGGGAAGACTCTTTAGAGTCCCTTGGACTGCAAGGAGTCAAACCGGTCAGTCCTAAAGGAAATTAACCCTGAATATTCATTGGAAGGACTGATGCTGAAGCTGAAGCTCCAATACTTTGGCCACCTGATGGAAAGAACTGACTCATTAGAAAAGACCCTGATGCTGGGAAAGATTGGAGGCAGGAGGAGAAGAGATGACAGAGGGTAAGATGGTTGGATGGCATCACCAACTTGATGAACATGAGTTTGAGCAAACTCTGGGATTTGGTGATGGACAGGGAAGTCTGGCATGGTGCAGTCCATGATGTTACAGGGAGTCAGACACGACTGAGCAACTGAACTGAAGTGGGAAGAGGGTGCTCAGAAAGCACTTGTGCAGTTAAGTTGTGAGCTGAACAAACCACTTTTTTCATGGAATCCATTTTTGCTTGAAAGAACAACTGACAAACTATGGGTAATTCAGACTTACTTAGCATATATTTTCTCAAAAATTAACAAAGTGAGTCACCTCCAGGAAAATAACTGATAGTATTTGTTGCCAATGATAAAATGTAAGTCTTCAAGCAAAAATTAGAATTTTGGAAAACTTGGATCTACCACTCTGAGCATGAGACTTTCCTGATGAAACTAGTAGTGATTTGAACAAGTGATTTCTAATGGATGTAAGTCAACTAAGCAGTTTTAGTTTTTCATGTTCTCAGTTTTAACTTCTAATATGATAAATATCACTAGATATAACCACAAATAGAGCAAGCTTTTCGGAGTTTGCAGTAATTTTTAAAGCAGGAAAAGGGTCCTGAGACCAAAGAGATTGAGAGCTGTTACACATTCTCAATCGCCTCCCTCCCCGCACCTCACCCCAGGCTAAAGGTGTGATTTCTCCCCTTCCCACCTGCTCTCAAACTTTCATTTCTCATGTAATGCCTTGTATTTTAATTATTTGTGTGCCTGTTATATATCCATCTTGGAGATTAGATCTCAAGCTCTTTATGGTTTTGAATGATGATCTGGCAGTTCAGGGAAAACTGTCTGGACCGTTGTTTCACTGACTTCCTGAAGCACCATGGGTAAAGCCACTGTGTCTTGGGCTTCAAATTTAAAATGAGAGTTGCATTGAATGACATGAGTTTCCTCCCAACTTGAGATACTTGAATACTGTTCTTCTCAGAACACAGTGCTGTGCTAGCCATGCATTGGGAGATGCGGTTTGTGTTGTGGAGAAGAGCCCACATTCTGGGATCAGGGAGGTGGGTTTCAAAAACACATGATCTGAATCCTCTTGGAGCTTTCAGTCAGTGGTGGAAAGAAGTGAACCACCAACAGCTGAGACCTTGAGTGCTCTCAGAGAAAAGTAGTCAGGGTTCTTACAGAGCACAGGCATTGAAATCCCAAGTGGGAGAGAAGGAGGCTCTTCCTTCTTGTAGATGATTCTTAAGTTGCCTTTAAAGAACTAGAAGTAAATTTCCTTGGCTTGACTTATACTATAAGTGTGGGAGAATGGTAGTAAGAGCTGAGGCTGCCCCAAGGAGGTAGGATTGAATTCAGAACCTGCCCCATGTAGTCCCGTGGGACAGAAATGGAACTAACTGGAAGAAGCAGTTGAGGGAGAAATGACGAATGCTCTTTCCAGGTGGCACACACTTTGTATGTGGTGCTTTTGTTCACAATTCCTCTTTCCTGTCCCTCCAGGAGGACTGCACGTCCTCATCTGAACTCAGGCAGAAAAGAATGGCATCTCAAACTTTTAGAATGAAAGGACCTCGGGGAGGCATCCCAAGAAAACCATGTTTGTTAAAACGGTAGGAGGGCATGTGGATTTCACCACAAAAAGGACGTTCCAGAAGGCATGGGAAATGGAGCTGGCCAAGAGGCAAGAGTAGCGGGAGCACGGGGAGCAGGGGATGGCTAGAGATGCTGAGTAGTGTTGAGATGAGAGCCTGGAAGGAACTTAGACTACATCCAAAAAAACGATAGGGAGAGAGCTCTGGGGGTTGGCTGGCCTCACAGATCTAACCGACTCTGGTTCCGACTAGAAGCAAGATGGTTTCTGTGCATGACATAGGCTCGGGGCTCTGGGTGATGACCCAGGCTACTCTGGACTGCTGTTCTTGCATCCGGTCAGCAGTCTACACCCTTTACTCTCAGGTTTGAATAGAACTGATTCTGATAAAGTCCAAACTGTTAGGAGACTACAGAGTTCATGTCTGGCTAGAAGAAAACAATGTACCCATGGAAAGAGGTTTTGTAATGTAGTCATGTCTTCAGAAGACCGTTTGGAGGAACTCTGAATATTAGTGAGCGAGGCTTTCTTCTCAAGGATTTGTTCGTCCAAACAAGTTGTTGTCAGGGGCCTGAGAGGATTGAGATTCAAACAGATAAAGAAGACTGGAAAAGACTGCTGGCCTAGGCTTCAGTTTTGCTAGAGATCAATACCAGAGGAGAGGCAAGAAGGCTGGACTCTAGAGATAGCTTTATCATTATTCTTATTTACAGATGAAGAAACCAAGGCACAAAGAACTGGCCCCAAATCACTTAGGTTATAAATAGCAGAGTAGGATCCAAACCTTGGTCCACTCGACTCTGCATCTGTGTGTAAGGGAAAGGAGAAGTTGCTTTCTGCAGGATGAGCTGCAACCTCAGTTGTATAACCCAGGGCTTTCACCCTGGTATTCCCCAGCAGAGCCATGGGAGAGTAACTGATAATACACTAGACTGTAAGAATATACAATCCCAGGTTTACCAGAATGATACTTGAAGACATTTCTGTGATTTTGTTTAGAGGAAGCAAAATACAGTGCCCAGGGGTACTAGGCTTCAGGCTGTCTCCCAGTGCTGAAGGACAGGTGGTAGACCCTAATGAGGAGGAGGCCAGGTTAGATGCAGTGAGAAAGAACTCCAGATTCCATTAGTCAAGTCTTCCAAGGTCTCAGGAGTGAGGAGTGAGAGCCTGTCCTGAATTTGATAACCGTGGGAGGATATTAGGGCCCAGATTCTTGTCTGGTTCAGTGGTTCTCAACTTTGGCTTCAGTTGAGTTGCCTGGTGAGCTTTAAAAAGTGTCAGAGCCTGGCCCTAGGCCCAGAAACTGATTTATTTGTCTTGAAGTTAAGGCCCAAGCATCAGTATTTAAAACAAAAAACTCGCAGTTATTTCAGTGTGTGGCCTGAGTTGATAATCTACTAGCAGTGATAATGACCTTCGGCATGTCACATTCCTCTTTGGTCTTTTGTATCATCACCTGTTTTTTTTAAAAAAAATTATTTGCTAAAAGCTCTCACTGCCAATATTTTTATATGAGGTTATGTTAAGTGATTTTTAATGTCCCAGGATTAAATTTTCATGAATCTCTTCATGATGTAAGCGTTTTAAAATACTTTTCATTTAGGGTTCAGAGTGTACTATCATCAGTGTTTCCATTAGTACCTAGAAACAGCATGGGGTCAATGCTGAGTCTGAGGCTTGAGACTCATAATGACTCATTCACCTTATACAGAAAAGAACAGCAACCTCAAAATTTGGACTGTGCAAATCCTTCCCCACTGGAAGCATCATCTCAGAGATGTAGCCCCCCAGAAAGTGAGTCACTAGCACCATCTTCCATTGTGAAGAGCAGCCCTCACTAATAGTAGGTAGAAAACAGGACTCTAGAAAGTACATGAAAGACATTTTAAGTCAATAGAGAAACTTTACATACATTCAAGATTCATACATAAAACAGCCACTATGGAGAACAGTGTGGAGAGTCTTAAAAAACTGGGAATAGAACTGCCATACAACCCAGCAATTCCACTGCTGGGTATACACCCCGAGGAAACCAGAATTGAAGTAGGCACATGTACCCCAATGTTCATCTCAGCACTATTTACAATAGCTAGGACATGGACACAACATGTCCATTGGTAGATGAATGGAAAAGGAAGTTGATGTACATATACACAATGAAATATTCAGTTCAGTTCAGTCGCTCAGTCATGTCCGACTCTCTGTGACCCCATGAATCTCAGCACGCCAGGCCTCCCTGTCCATCACCAACTCCCAGAGTCCACCTAAACCCATGTCCATCGAGTCAGTGATGTCATCCAACCATCTCATCCTCTGTCGTCCCCTTCTCCTCCTGCCCCCAATCCCTCCCAGCATCAGGGTCTTTTCCAATGAGTCAACTCTTCACACAAGGTGGCCAAAGTATTGGAGTTTCAGCTTCAACATCAGTCCTTCCAATGAACACCCAGGACTGATCTCCTTTAGGATGGACTGGTTGGATCTCCTTGCAGTCCAAGGGACTCTCAAG